GCGCGTTCATGTTCGAAGGCCTTGCTACTGAATGATATTTCAAAACTGGACTGTTAAACGTTCAATACATTACACTGCGCGAAGTTAGATAACTGGACTGCTATTTTAATTTAACAATTTTCGATTTTCTGGCCAATTTTTACCTTAGTCGCGTGATCGCTCTGATCACCCCTAGATCCGCCCCTGATCTAACCCCTATAAATTCTAAAGTCCATTGTAGATAAATAACAAACATTAAAAATATTAATTATAACCACTTATACTAAGATTTAAATCTTAGGGTGATTTAACAAGCCATGCAAATATCAATTAAATATTATATATACTAATAAATGATTTGGAAATCATCAGGTAACTTATATAAACCAGTCATATTTATAAATTTATAAACGCATGCGGCATGCTGCGCAAACGCAGGCTAGGGAAGCGCAAGGAATTTAGCAGGGAAGTGGCATTTTTTATCGCATGTATATTTCGCTGACGATTGGGGACTTGGACGTCATTTACTTTTTCGGTATGTAATGGCGAATTATAGCAGGGAAGCGTCTTGTCTATGTCAGTACGCAGTACAACCATAGAGGCACAACATTGACGTATGAAATACATATCACAGATCAATGATATCACAGATCAATGATATCACAGATCAATGACATCACAGATCAGTCACAATTACTAAACGTTTCACATTTATTTGCAGCCTTGAAGAGTGGTCACTCTTGTTCAAGATGAAATGATAAGAATTCGTGTGCACTTGTGCCTGTAATTTCAACGGGGCGGGGAGCAAACGTCCCCCACCTTCACGTAACAAGAAAAACCTAGAGTTAAAACTGCCATTCATTTGAGTGTAAATATCAATGTCGGTAATTTAGAAGATTTCGTGATCCTGCAGCACCATAGATTGTTGCCGGATCCTAGAGCCTCCTTGCCCGGGCAAATAGTTTGATTTATTTATTATAAACACTCTATATTTCCCCTAGATAAGTAAAGAGGAGGGGGGGGCTCACTAGGGTGCATTTCAGCTTAATGGGTTAATTAACAAAGACCTTTTTGTCTTAGGAACATGTGACTGGAGTGTTTTTCAAAGTGAATAGCGAAGACAAGGACGAAGTCATCAAGTATTTAGACTACCGGGAAAAGGGTGACTACCAATTGGCTGAGATGTTATTCCACCCCGCTGTCGACAATTGTCGCAAACCGTACAATGTTCTTGTGTACACGGATACGAAAGAAAACCCGAATTACTTAGGGCCTGCCCCTGAGCAGGAAATCGCAAAACAAATTGTATCGTCTGTCGGACCAAGTGGGCCAAATTTGGAATATTTTAACAAACTGGTTGAAACGCATCGTATGTCGACGATCATCTAAGAAGCATCAAGAATTACATAGACAAAGCAATTTAATTGTTCAAATTTTTTATTGTGCAAATTGGAAAAATTGTGCTGGGTGGGTGAATTCTATATTATGATGTAAATTAAAGTAAAAACAATGTACAACTTATGCACCATTAGATACAAGAGTAAATTGAGATTCTCAACATTCATCAAATTGGGGCGAGGGGGGGGGGGGCTCTTGTCCCACCTTGAAGCCTGATTTCCATATGATCGTAATGTTCGTAAAAATAGAGTCACGATCTTTCTCAAAGGTCAGTTTATAATAGTTTATACCTGTAAACCATATATAAATCATAAGTATTCTCTAGTTATAATCACTCCGCGTATTTTCAGTTCTGAAATGTTGTATTTCGGCTGATGAGAAAGATCGTGACTCAATCTTTGCGACCGTTACGAGTGTGTCACAACGGGCAAGCCGGCTGACTAAAGTTTCGCTGAACCAACTTGTCTGACCTCTCGATAGCTCAGTTGGTAGAGCATTGGACTGCTAAACCAAACTTCCCAACATAAATATATGACATTCATTTGAACAGATTGTCTCTTACCTAATGAGGTCACAACAGCATGGCTTCCACAAGTCTCATTTTGTACACCTCACATAATTTTTATTGCTATTTCCCTCTAAAATGTTATTTGAATTCATGTTGAATTATGGGAGGGACCCTGGTTTTTACTGTTTTATTTTATTTTCGGTAGGAAAAAGCAAAAGGTCCAGAGAATGAAATTGCCAAGATGGATAAGTTGCTCAGCCTTGTTCGCGAACCTTCGGAGAAAAAATAAATAAACTGCCTTGGAGTTATTTCATTCAATTTATTTATTTATTGCATACAAGATCTCGAAGTATCTCGAGTATTATGTATAGGAGGCGGTTTGTTTTATTGGGATGGTTTGTTTTCTTTGTTTGTAAATTGTGACTGGATTCTGCTGCTCGCCTCACATCAATTATGATAATATAATATTGTAAATATCTTTGGCATATTTTCTTCTACATATATAAAGGCCCATATATAAATATGAGTCGTCGAAAATGTACGTTCTAACTTGTCTTTTCAAACTTTAACAAACAACGCGTTATTTTTCATGTACATTTTTCTCATTATCACTTTCAAAGGGTGAATGTTTTTTGTACCGAATTTATAATGTTTTACGAACGATAATTTCAATGTCATCCAGCCGCGACCAGTAGTAACATGTTCCGTTGTTTTGAAAATGCCACTGTTCACCATGTCGCACCATTTA